TTGAGTTGCACCCAATGGCTGTGATCAAAAGTTTTGAAATTGATGGTCAGGATGGCTAGGCAAAGGTCCATCCTCATTTCATTAAAAAAAAAACACTTTTTTAATGATCCGCTGACACATCAGTACATGAAAGTACTGACATGACTAATGATAGCTTTTCTCTCCTATAATCACTCCTATTCTCTCAATTTCTCTTGTCCAAATCAATACGTTTTCTCTCTCTTCCTTGGTTTTCTTCCTCATCCCTGTCTCTCTTTCCCCTGCTCAAACCGAAAGGCCGCTCGCTCTCTCTCTCTGGCTCTTGCTCCCTGTCTCTCTCTTTCCTCTACTCGCTGAAAGAAACCCAAAGGCCCCTCATCTTCCCTATCCAAAGGCCCCTCATCTTCCCTATCCAAAGGCCGCTTGTCTTGTGCCTCTCGCTCGCTCAGAAAAATCCAAAGGCCACTCGCTCGACCCCAGTGTGGCCTCCCCACCCCGTCTCTCATTTTCCCCTGTTGTTAAAGAATCCCCCAAAGGCCACTCACTCTCTCTCTGCCTCTCGCTCACTCGATTCCTAACTGGCCTCCCAACTGCTACTCACCCCATCTCTAAAGGTACTCTCTCTCTCTCTATTTGACTCGGTTACAATGAATTTATATCATAAATCTGTAGTATCCATTGAGGTTTGTACCATAAAATAATTTGCATCTGATTTTTTTGAATGATATTATTACTTCTTTCAAAAAATTACCATTAATCGATGGAACTTTTTGATAATAGATTGGTGTACATACACTTCCATTAATTTTGCAGGTTAATGGTAAGACTACCTTTGACATTCAAAGGAGGGGTTGTTATATTTCCTCATCACTTTTGAACAATATTCCAAGTCAAAGCATACTAGAAAATTGTTTCTCAATTTGTCAATAAGATGATTAGAAATGAAAGCGGCGTGGTTATTTTTTATGAAAAATCCAACTCCATATTATAAAAACTTGTGATGTATTCATCGATTGCAATTTTTGTATGTGACAAGGTGGGCTGAGAAAAAATATGATTGGAATTATTAAAATTGAAATAAATTGTGTTTCTAATTTTAGTGTAAATGAATTTATAGGTATTATCTCTCTCTGTATTTGACTTTGTTAAAATGAGTTTATATCACAAATCTGTAGTATCCATTGGGGTTTTTTTATGCATTTTTTTTTATTGGGGTTTTTCGCCCTTGCTGCATTGAGTTTACATCACAAATCTGTAGCATCCATCTGTTGCAATTTTTGCATAAGTTTTTATAGGTTGAGAAAAAAATATGATTGGTCTTATTAAAATTAAAATAAATTGTATTTCTGATTTCAGTTCAACAGATTCTCTCTCAGCATCCATGTGTTTTTGTGCAATGGCTATAGAAAGAAAATACAATGACTAATGCAATCCTTGGATGTGATAGAGTGAGAATAGGGCATTTGATCTCATCTGATCATTTTAATTGAATCGTTATTTGAAAAAAAATATCAAATGAGTTCGTTAAGAACAAGTCTTTCTTTCAAAATTTCCTGAGCTTTGTTATGCTTATTTTTATACATTTTGATATATCATATGTTGTGTCTAAGTCCAATATCTTCATGTGGCATCTGATACATCATATAATGAATCACTTACTCTTGGAAATTAGAATACATCTGATGCAAAAATTTATTTATTTTTTTAATTGTCTTTCTCCCCCATTTTCTTTTCCTTTTTGCTTTTTTGCTGCAATTTTTTTGGCCATTGGGTTTGTTTGACCCTGCTGCATTGAGTTTATATTATAAGTATGTAGTATCCATTTGTTACAATTTTTTGCATGCGGCAAGGTGGGTTGAAAAGAATATGATTGGTATTCTTAAGATGAAGGTTTGAATACATGTATTTTTGTAGTTTGCAGTTTCATGTTGGGTAAGTAAAAAAACTGAGATGGATCTCACGAATTCAGTCGGTATTACATCTAGCACATGCCCTAATGTAGGCAGCATTAATGAAATCCCGGATGGTGGTTGTGGCTCACCAAACATAGGCCAAGAAATAGAAGAACCATGTTTAGGGATGATGTTTGGATCAGAGGATGATGCATATGAGTTCTTTAAATCTTATGCATTGACCGAAGGTTTTGGTATTCGCATGAAGAGTACTCATAACAAGAAAGGTAAACGGATCGATAGGGTTTATGTTTGCTCGAATGAAGGGTTTAAACAAGAAAAACCTAATAAAAGTGGAAATGTTTACCCTGAGTTAAGGTGTGGGTGCAATGTTAGGATGTGCATAAGTAGTCAAGAAGACGGTGAGTGGAAAGTGATTAGTATCGTTAAAGATCATAATCACGATTTAGTTAGTCCAAGAAAAGCTCGTCTAATTCATACACACCGATCATTGTCGAGTACTACAAAGGCATTGATACATTCAATGAGCTCGGCAATGGTTAAGCATATTCATGACATATTCATAGGGCAGGCTGGAGGGATCGACCATGTCCCTTGTACACAAAAAGACATCCAAAATAAAATAGCAAGCGTTAGAAGAAAACTTAAAAGAGAAGATGGCAATGTAATTCTGCAATGGCTCTATAAAAAGAACCAATCGAACCCATCATTTTTCTTTAGATTGAGATTAGATGATGAGGATCACATTTACAGTATCTTATGGGTAGATTCTACATCTAGAGTTTCCTACCAATGCTTTTCTGATGTGATTACCTTTGATACTACATATAAGACAAATATGTTTGGTATGCCCTTTGCACCTACACTTGGTATAAATCATCGTTTCAGTATACCTTTATTTGGATTTGCACTCATATTTGACAAAACGAGAGAATCATTTATATAGGTATTTGAGGCATTATTCTAACTGATCAAGATCCTACAATTTCATATGCAGTGAGACAAGTTATTTGCCAAAGCAAGCGTCATTATTGTAAGTGGCACATATTTGTGAAGATCAAAGAAAAAAATGTGTTGTCTTGTGTGTACATCGTTCTTATTCAGATACCTTTAGGAGGTGTGTGGTTAGCCCAACAATTGAAGAATTTGAATCGGGATGAAAATCAATGATTGATAATTATAAGCTAAAAGACAATGAATGGCTTAGTAAGCTTTATGGTTGTCGCATGCAATGGGTTGATGCATACTTGGCGGGCACGTTCACGGTATGACCTCTATTCAAAAGAGTGAAGGGATGAATACATACTTCAAAATGTACTTGACACCCACAACAAGCTTGCGTACATTATTAGAAGTTGTTGCAAAAGTCCAATATAAGAATATGCAAAAAGAGAGAAAAAATGACTTGAAAGATATTCAAACCACTCCAGTCTTGCGAACAACTACTTTCATTGAGTCACATGCATAAAAAATCTATACTCAAAAGATTTTAAAGATATTTGAGGAAGAGGTGGCTAATTACTTTAATTTTACGAGGGAGACAGTTGAAGACAATGGACAGGTTGTTACCTTTAAGGTGGCAGTCCCGGGGACTGGATCTAGACCATATTTAGTGAAACTCAATTGCCATTACAATTCTGTTTCTTGTAGTTGTCACTTCTTTGAGAGGATGGGCCTTCTTTGCAAGCATGTACTGAATATTTTTATGGTGAAAGACAGGTTTGAAATCCCTCCCCAATATATAATGAGGCGTTGGACCAAGGATGTAAGCAAGGGAATTTTTCTTAATGACATTGGGGAACAAGTTCAAGTAACATCAGAACTACTGCACTCCAGTAGATATAATGAGGCTATGCAGGCAAGTCGATCCCTTGCCGAGCATGCTTCACAAAGTGTAGAGGGCCATGAGTTTGTAATTTTCATAATACAAAATGGAATTCGTCAGTTTGATGAAAAGTTTGTGTGCAAGAGAGGTCCAAAGGATAATGCCAAGGGCTATGTCAATGAAGATAATAATTCTGCTAGTTGTAGTAACACACCAAGTAAAAGTAACCATTGTTGAAATGTCCTTGAACCTGCACGAGCACGGACAAAGGGACGACCAACTGCTCAAAGAATGAAAGCTCGTTATGAGGGATGGAAGCTAAAGACCAAAAAAAAGGAAATGCACAGTCTGCAATGGTAGGGGACATGACAAAAGGAACTGTGCGCCGTTCGTTTGTGATAGGTACAACTACATACCTTTACATTATTTTGATTTGCAATTGTATTATCTTCATTATTATTTATGTATTTCATTTACAATTGTATTAGCTTCAATTGAAATGCTAACATATGAATTTATCTTCCTCTTACAGGGCTAAGGACAAAACACGTCATAAACATTGGACCCATAAGAAGGCAGTAGATGTGTGTTGATGGTAAGAAGCAATTGTTTGGAAGGCATGTTTGTAAGTTCATTTTGAAACATTTTTATATGCGTGTAAATACATATTTGTAATTTCATTTGGAACACTATTATTACTCATCATAATGTGTTTTATGTCTCAGACAGAGCGGACAAATTCATCTGGAACAACTTCAAAAGAGGGGCTATGTTGTTTCTTTTTTTTTGTGAAAATTTTGTTGTTAAACTATTGGCATTATTGATGTAGGTTGTATGCAATTCACTCACGTTTGTGGAGGATATCACATACGCTCAAATTATGAAGTTCCAAAAATGTAAAATTCCTATAACAAATTATGAAAATATTCAAGCCTCAAAACCACCATAAATTAACACCTACTCATTCAGCTTTCACCATTCAAACCACTCAAGAATCTCTAATGCTTGAGCACTATATACTCAAAGGAATACCAAATCATTCACGATGTACGATAAGCAAGTAATTGTTCATCATTCAAACCACAAAACCACAAAAAATTCACACCTACCCCTTCAACTTTCACCATTCAAACCACTCAAGAATATCTGATGCTTGAGAGAGAGAGAGAGAGAGAGAGAGAGAGAGAGAGTAGAGAGAGTTATAATTACATTAATGTACAAATATACTAAATTAAACATTGTTGTTCCATATAAGAAAGATAACTATAAGTGTATACAATTATAAGTATATAGATACCATAAAACATATACCCATTTTTTTTATAAAAAAAATGAGGGCAAGTATCAATATCATAAATAAAATTACATATATGAGAGTAATTTTTTGAACGTCTACTTTTTCAAGGACCATAGCAATAGATTTGCGCTTCTCTTTTTTAGACGAAGATCTATCTACTCCATTAGCAACACAAACACAAACATCTGACCTCTGAGACAAAAACTTTTTAACCATAGGCTTCCTATCTTCACCTAGAATTTTATCACACCACTCTAGATAACTGCATCCAGTCTCATTCTAGTGGTTAACATAATAAGATAAATGTGTTAGATATATGCTTACAAATGAACACCAATATGTTTCTACATTATGTTAATAAATGAATATTACATACATTCCAGTTAGAGCATTTATAAAAATGCTTATTATAGTTATCGTGTGTCATTGATATAAACACACGTCCGACCACATCCTGGTTTGTGTTTACAAATCATTTGACGGAATTGGTTCTCAAGATACATTTTATAAAGGGAATTGGTTGTCGAGATCTATTCTATAAAGAAGTCACAACGAATATATTAAAAACTTCATCACAATCATTTTAACAATCAATTTTTTTGTCTCAACCCAAAAGAAAAATATTGCCCATACTGATTTTATTCTTATATGTTACATCTCAAGCAATCCAAGAAGAAGGAGATTCAGATATGACATCTTCCCACATGCAGGGGATTGTGTTTTCTCTCTCTCTAGATTATAAAATGGTAGTGAAAAAGCAAAAAGGGAAAGAAAATAAAGGAGAAAGACAATTGAGAACAAATAAATTTTGCAACAGGTGTATTCTACAGTTCATTATAAGAAGAATACAATTTCTATTTCTAATAGAAAGTGATTCATTATATGGTGCATCAGATGTCACATGAAGATATTGGACATGAACACAACATATGATATATGAAAATGTATAAATATAAACATAACAGAGCTCAAGAAATTTTGAAAGAAAGACTCGTTCTCAATGAACTCATTTGATTTGTTTTTCAAAGGATGATTAAGTTAAAATTATCATATGAGATCAAATGGCCTATTCTCACACTATCACGTCAATGGATTGCATCAACCATTGAAGTGAAAAGAGTTATTTTGAAACTCAAAAGTTTGGAACAATAGGCCCAAGTAAGTGCTAATGGGGAAAAAAATGCAACAGATGGATACTACAGATTTGTGATGTAAACTCAATACAGCAAGGGTGAAAAACCCCAATGGAAAAAAAAATGCAGAAGAAACCCCAACAGATACTACAAATTTGTGATATAAACTCATTTTAAGTGGCCAAATATAGAGAGAGAGATAGAGAGAGTACCTATAAACTTATTTACACTAAAATAAAAAACACAATTTATTTCAATTTTCATAATACCAATCATATTTTTTTCTAAAGCTTGTACTTACTGTGCTTGGAATCATGTATCCCCTCTGGCATAGTCGTGCAGCAAGGAAGAACCGCCCCTCTATAAGGCAGACCTTTGATCCACTCAACATTAATCCTTTGGCTCTGGTCGTGGTGAACGAGGAGGTTGACCCTATTGCGGTGATGGAAGAGGGAGACATGGAGATTCCGCCTATTCCTGGATTAGAAGACGAAGGAGGGGTGGAGGAGCATGTGCTCGCAATTGTGGAAGCTGAAGCAATTGTGCCGTTGTCTATGATTCATTTTGAAGAGCGGCCACAACTCGTCCACCTGACAACTGAGCATGTTGGAATCCGGCTCCGATGTCAGTTATGCCCTCTTCTACTTTACTTCATTATGAGGAGAGGGTGGGTGCTATTGTTCAGAATAACAGAATGAATTTCGATGTGCCCATTGGGGTTGTCTTCAAGGACATAGTGGCGAAACTTAGAGATGAGAATCAAGGAAGGAAAGCTGATGATGATGGGAAGATGGTTCGTGATGAAGCAGGTAAGAAGGACGCAATTGCTGGTGAGAAGTCTCCATCGAAGGATTCGGCTAAGAAAAAGATCAAAGGTAAGAGCTCGATGAAAGGCACTAGATCGTCAGCTCGACTGTTGGCTCGGGGACATCGTCCGGGTGCTGCTCCAGGAACTGTCATCCGTGACAAACATGCCGCCGATTTTAGTCCCTCTCCTTCTTCGTCATCATCCCTGGATGCTGCTTTTGATGAGGCTACGGAGGATACGCTATTGGAGGCAGAGAGTTTATTCGTCTTCAGAAGGGATGGGTCTGGCTCTTCCCTTTCTAAACCTTTCTAATGCTAGTACTATCTTGGAATGTTAAAGGCCTGAGCGACCTCAGGCGTAAAAACGGTGTTCTTTTTTTGATAGGTAAGTATAAACCCATTGTGCTTATGCTTCGAGAAACTAAACTTCCCAATCCTAATTTATCTGGGGCTCGAAAGGTTTGAGGTCCTGAAGCTTTAGATTTCGCGGGCTTGGATTATGTTGGGGCCTCTGGGGGTGTGTGGATCCTATGGGATCCTTCAGTCTTGCTGTCTTTTACTTTGGTGAAAAAAGAAAACTTTTTGCTTGTTGGTTTTGTGGATCTAGAGGCGGATTTTCAGTGGGGGTTGATGAATGTTTACGGCCCTCATACTTCTACCCAAAAAGAAATGTTCAGTTTTGATATGTCTGATGTTATTTCTCAGTTTCAATATCCTATTTGTATTTGGGGGATTTTAACTTCACTAGGTGGCTTGAAGAGAGTTCAAATGGGGGGATGATTATTGCTGCCATGCATCTTTTTAATCGCTTTATAGAATCCCATGCTTTGATTGATCTTCCCATTTAAGGCACGAAATTTACTTGAACTAATGGTAGTGTTGTAAATTTGTCTATGCCAAAGATTAACAAATTCTTGGTGTCTGGGGAATAGTTTGAATTGTTCCCTTTAGCCTCTATCAAAGCCCTCCCTAGACTCTCCTCTGACCATATTCCTCTTTTGCTATCTTCTAAAGTCTGGTCAGGGGGTCCCAAACCTTTCAGGCTTGAAATTGGGTAGCTCCAGGAAAAGGAAGTTGCTGAGATAATCAGAAGTACCTGGGAGAATTCAATCTCCTTTGGCTCTTTAGACTTCTAAATTCATAAAAAGCTATTGAGCATCAAACATAAGCTATTGGATTGGAAAAGAGTTATGTGTTCTTCTGTAAAAAAGAAGATTGACGAGGTATTAAAATGCATAGAGAAGACATATGAACATATGCATCAGTCAAGGGTTTGGTCTGAGGAGTTGGCTATGGCGCAAAACTTCAAAGTGAATGAACTTCATGTGCTTAGAAGGGTAGAAGATGTGTATTGGAGTCAAAGATCTAGGGTTAATTAGTTGAAGGAGGGTGACTTGAACACCAAATTCTGTCATGCCATAGCTAACACTCGAAGGCGCCAGAACGATGTGTCTGGACTTACTATTCAGGAAGTGGATTCTAATGATAGGGAGGGCATGTGACAAGCTATCATTAGCCATTTCCAGGCCTTCTCTTCATAAGTCCAGGTTCTGCTCAGGTTAAGTACGGTGGGATTTAAAGTCCTCCCCTCCAATTTGATTCCTATATTGGATAAGGATGTCTCCTTGGAAGAGTTAAAAAAAGCGGTTTTTACCCTCTCGGGTGAAAGGCCCCTAGTCTTGATGGGTTTCCTTTACTCTTTTTTCAAAATTTCTGGAATTTGGTTAGTAGCGAGCTCATGGAAATGACCAGAGGTTTTCTTAGGAGAGGGCATCTGTTTAAGGGAGTGAATTCCACCTTCATTGCCTTAATCCCCAAAAAGTCAAGTATTGCCTAATTGGGAGATATTAGACCCATTAGTCTGTTGACGAGCTTATACAAAATAGTAGCAAAGGTTTTGGCTGAGCGATTGAAGGTGGTTCTTCCTTCCATTATCTCTAGTCCCCAGTCAGCTTTCATCAATGATAGGCTAATTTAGGACAGTGACTTCAGTGCGCAAGAATGTATCCACTCACAGATAAGTAGTGAGAATCTTGGAGTGGTGATCAAACTAGATATGGAAAAGACGATATGGAGTATTTTATTAGAAATTATGAAAAACATGGGCTTTAGCAATTGATGGACACAATGGATCTTTGGTTGCTTATCTTCAACACACTTCTCTATTCTGTATAAAGGAAGTCCGATTTGGACCCAATCGGACTTCCTTGGTCTTCGCCAAGGTGACCCTCTCTCTCCTTTCCTTTTCAATATGTATGTTGAATGTCTTAGTTTAATGTTGTCTAAAGTCAAGGAGGGGCCATTTTTGGGTTTTCATCTGCCTAATAGAGGACCTTGTATTTCCCACTTGCAATATTTTGATGACACATTGCTATTCTGCGAAGCTCAGATTGCCCAGGTTAGCCATATTGCAACTTTCTTAATATGCTGCAAAGTTGCTTTAGATCTCATGGTTAACTTTGGGAAAACAACGATTGTCGGCTTAAATTGCAGTGATGAAGTGATAAATTCATTGACATGAGTTTCATGCTATAATGTAGAGAAGTTCCCAAACATGTATTTGGGTATGCCTATCTCGGTGATTAGGTGCCTCGATCTCGCCC